ACCAATTTCTCAAGTATAGTCTCTTATAACACTTCTCTGTATTCTAATCATCAATTGGTGTATTGTAATAGTCATATATATAATAATTTGACATTAATTGATATTAATGTACTCTAATTTATATTTATATAAAATTGAACAGATAAACACACACGTTGTACATGTCATAATATGCGTCCTACGTGAGATAATACAAATCAAATCAGTTCAAGTGTATCTCATGTAAATTGTCAAATAAGAAGTTTGTATTTATTTGTTTAATTTTATACAAATTTAAACGTCTACTTAAAAAACATAAATATCATCAGAATTTATTTTCAAATGAGGAAATAAGAAATAGTCAACTACAAGCTCCATTTAAGCAAAACAGAGCATATATCATACTATTTAAAACAAAAGAAAAACATAATCTCATCAAATAAAATTTCAAGAAGCTCTGAAAAATAACTAGCCATGTCCGTACCACCAGGAGCATATCAAGAAGATTTACCAGCAGTTCCACCATGGCTAAACAAAGGCGACAACGCCTGGCAAATGACTGCAGCGACCCTCGTTGGTCTGCAGAGTATGCCAGGCCTTGTCATCCTTTACGCCAGCATTGTAAAGAAAAAATGGGCAGTTAACTCTGCTTTTATGGCTCTTTACGCTTTCGCAGCTGTACTCATATGTTGGGTATTAGTAGGCTATCGTATCGCCTTTGGCGATAAGCTTTTGCCCTTTTGGGCAAAAGGGGCCCCTGCTTTAGGCCAAAAATACTTAACAGGACGAGCAAGAATGCCAGAGACAACGCATTATTATAGCGATGGAACGACAATAGAATCTCCTATGCATGAACCTTTTTATCCTATGGCTGCACATGTCTATTTTCATTTCACTTTTGCTGCTATTACCATGATTTTGTTGGCTGGTTCTGTTCTTGCTCGTATGAATATCAAAGCTTGGATGGCTTTTGTTCCTCTTTGGCTCATCTTTTGTTATACTGTTGGAGCTTTTAGCCTTTGGGGAGGTGGATTTCTTTATCATTGGGGTGTGATTGATTATTCTGGTGGCTATGTTATTCATCTTTCTGCTGGAATTTCTGGATTCACCGCTGCTTATTGGGTATTACAACCAACTAATTCTCCCCTTTTTGTTCATTCATTCGACTCTGTTTTACTCTGTTATGTTAAGTTCGTTCCAAAATTTAAATCTATGTTGCTCTGACTCTTCAAATATGTATGTGTTGGATCCGAGCAACATAGGCTTGAAGTCAAATTGGTTTATTTTGAGTGAGTATGATTTAGATGTTGATTCAGGATTTAAAATTGACGTGTTCAACCTATGTAGAAATTAGGTGATGTTGTTTTCAACTTCTAGTGATCTAGTCTAGCCTTTTAGATCACATAACACAATACATGATTCAAACATGAAAGTAGTGGATTCTGTTCAACTCGATATTTTCTCGTATAAACTAATTGAGTTGATTGGATATGTTGATGGCAGGTTGGGCCAAGACTGAAGAGTGATAGAGAAAGGTTTCCACCAAACAATGTGTTATTGATGCTTGCAGGAGCAGGGCTACTTTGGATGGGTTGGTCAGGTTTCAATGGAGGAGCACCTAATGCTGCAAATGTAGCTGCTCCTTTGGCTGTTTTAAACACTAATATTTCAGCAGCTACAAGTCTTCTTGTTTGGACAACCCTAGATGTTTTTTACTTTGGCAAGCCATCCGTTATTGGAGCGATTCAAGGAATGATGACCGGCCTAGCTTGTGTAACTCCTGGAGCAGGTAGTTTAACTTCTATATACTGACAGTTAGAAAACAGTTACACTATGATAGGACCTAGCGAAGTCGTGCCATCGAATGTAAAATGAGTAATAACAAAATTAAAGAATTGATGTAGGAGTGGTGCAAGCTTGGGCAGCCATAGTAATGGGAATTCTTGCTGGAAGCATTCCATGGTATTCCATGATGATACTCCACAAAAAGTCCACTTTTCTACAGCAGGTACGATAACTGTACTTACTTTCATAATATTCCATCTTGTTATTTGTAAAGAATATATTTCTCATATAGAGCAGTAACGGACTCAGAATTGTCATTATAGATTATTTGGTAATTGTTTACATATGGTTGTTGAAATTGAATATAGTGTTCAAAATAAGTTGCTATAACTATCTAACTTTTCCCCCCTTCCCTGTCCCTACAACTCTTACCATGTCATACTCAAATGAAGGAGAAAAGTAGGTAAGCACTAAAAAGTTTCAACAACTTGCCCTTTTTTTTGTTGTTGTTAGGTACACAAGCAAAATGTACAGTTTAATGTTGACTCCCACATCGGTGACTTATAGCACGTTTGATCAACCTTTTAAAATCTGTTTTTTTTTAAAAAAATATTTTTATCATAAGTGTTTTTCAAAAAAGTATTTGTGGAGATTAAAATTTCTATTTGACTTGTCAATGTTAGAGAAATAATAGGATTTATCTCTTATACACTACTACGGGGTAAAAAAATATTTACATGATCAGTATATGTAAATTCTTGTAGCAGGTTAACTGCCTTATTTTTTTAGTTGTTAATTCAAATTTTTATGGATGGTTATAGTACTATAAGTCCAATATGAAGTTACACATCATGTGACCTCAAACTTTGTAACTGCAAAAAGTTTTAGTACATTCTAAGGAACAAACTGTTAGGTGAACCGAGGTTGTTAATTGTTTTTATGTGTCTCAAACCGATTGATCCAAACCCGAACTTAAAAACTCAATTCAATCTAAAAATTGATTTTTTATATACAATCTGAACGGCCCCAACGCCCATCCCTATTTGTGACTAACTTACTTGTTGTATAATAACAGGTGGATGATACACTTGCTGTGTTTCACACACATGCTGTGGCAGGACTTCTAGGGGGTTTATTAACTGGTCTTCTGGCAGAACCATCTCTCTGTAATATTGTTCTTCCAGTCACCAACACAAAGGGTGCATTTTATGGTGGAGTTGGCGGAATTCTTTTCGTTAAGCAAATAGTTGCAGCTCTCTTCATCATTGGTTGGAACATAGTTGCAACGACGTTGATACTGCTTGCAATAAGGTTGTTCATCCCACTAAGGATGTCGGATGAGCAACTAAAGATTGGAGATGACGCGGTTCATGGTGAAGAAGCCTATGCCCTTTGGGGTGATGGAGAAAAATATGATCCCGAAAGACATGGTTGGCAAGGCCCAACTTCTCCACCACAAACAACTACAGTATTGACATTTGATTTATAACATGTTATAACCTCATACTTCTATTGTTTAAAACTTTACAGTATTAGATTTGTACATTTTATACGGTTCATATAGAAGTTCAAGGAATTTTTTAAGAACGTGTCGAGTTTGTGAGGTGAGTGCAAGATATCATGTATATATACTTACAATTCCCTATGTTTGTGCACTATATTCTTGAACGGAGGGTCTTCCATGAACTGATTCAGTACATTATGTTAATTATTCGTATTCCCTTAGCCTAGTGTACGCCATTCCTTTTTGTCTCCCAAATACTCAATCATCACATCTAGAATGACCTAACCCAAAATTTGATAACAAGATAGGCTAATCTATTGTGGAAACCTAAAAATCTGCAGTATCAACGTGATATCGCATACCTGAATAGTTGTAAAATAACAGAAATACCCTGTGCTTTCAATCCAGGTTGCTTTGGCACTTAATTTATCGAAAAGAAAACAAGTATTTCTTTCTAAACAGTTGCCTTAGAAAACCAAAATAAAATACATATTCAAAAACCAATTTATCACACGCTTATACAACAATATGTAAAACATTGAACTTAAAAGCTTATATGTGATATATCAACAATATTACTAGCCTTTTGTTCTACAACAAACCTCCAGAAATGAGCATTTTCCAAGGAACCTGGAACTTTTCCTTCTAATATTTTACTGCTGAGGTTAAAGTTTTCAAATTACAATTCAGTGGAAATATGTCAGGAATAATGCCACTGAGTTTGTTATTTGACATATCAAGAATTTGAAGCTTGTCTAGACTGTACATGGAAGAGGGTATTGATCCTGTAAATTCATTATTGGCAATCGAAAAGTAGGTAAGAGAAGTAGGTAGTACGGGTATATCGCCCTTGATTCTATTGGAACTCAAATCAATGACAATAGAAGTAGTAGACAAATTGTGAGGTTTTTCTAGAGACTAAAAGATTGTGAGAAAGATTCAGACTCTACTAGTATTTTGTTGATTTGAATGGTGTATATTGTGCAAGTCAACCTAAAGTGTAGTGTTAGTGCCTTAGTTATCTGGAAAGGTATGGTGTTATCAAAATGCATATGGAAGGGCAAACCTGGTAGAAGAACCCACACTGGTGCAATAAGGATTTTTTTTAAAAAATTCCGGTTTAGAATCAGGAGTCCACTTTTGTAGCCACATTTGAAGCCCCTTCATCTCGGTGATCCTTTTGAACCATACTAAGTTAAAAGCATCTTCATTTGCACGTATACACCGATTTTGGCTGACCCCTGATTGGGAATAATTCTTAAAAAGATAATCTTTTGCCTTGAATATTATTGATAGTTTATGAATAGTAAATCTTGCAATTACTGATTCTCTGGGGTGTCTAGGGGCACTCGATGATTGATTTGTCGTGGTGACAATTGTAGTATAAGTTGGTTTCCTTCCCTAGATGAAGTCACACCTGGCTGGAGTGTTATCTGAGGGAGGCTCCATAGGGTGGAGCTTGTGGTTTACTCTCTAATAAATGACTGTTATAGAGTAATCTACTGAAATGAATAGAGATCACTAATATAGTAATCTTAAGAATTTGCAGAAATAAAGTCACTCTATTTCGATAGTAGAGAACATAGTTGGTGATTTCAACTTTCAAGTACTGTAGTCGTGGCTCTGGATTTCTGCTCTTCATCATGCCTTCCCAGCTCGAGCAGTAATGTGGTAGCCGTGCTCCCCTGAAATTGTTGTAAGCAATATCTACAATTTGAAGCTTTGGCCATGTTTAATTAGCTATACGACACTGGAGATCTCCATAAAACTTGTTTGACCTCAGGACCAGGACGTGCAAACTGGGTAATGTTTTCAACATACACGGGAATATATCTCTAATCTTGTTGTTTCCGATGTTCAAAACCTCTAGAAATGCACATCTTTGCAGGGATCTTGGAACTTTTCCTTCTAAGTTATTGTTGCTGAGGTCTAAAGTTTTCAAACTGCAGTTTGACAAAAATGTATCAAGAATAATGCCACTTAGTCTGTTTCTTCCTAGATTCAGCACTGACAGATAGTCAAACATTTGAAACAGACATGGAGGTAGTTTGCTGTTTATGGAATTGTTCGACACATCAAGAAATTGAAGCTGATATAGATTGCATATAGAAGAGGGTATTGATCCTGTAAATTTATTATAAGCAATTGAAAGGTAGATAAGAGTAGTTGGTACAATGGGTATATTGCCCTTGATCCTGTTATTATGCAAGTCAATGAAACTCCATAATTCTGAAGATGTATCGTAAGGTTCTTCCTGAGCCTCGAGGAAATTGCAAAAAGGATTCAGATAACTTAAACTAATACTCCAAATCCAGTTGGGTACTTGTCCTGAAATATTGTTGTATGAAAGGTCTAATGCAATCATGAGTAACTGGTTTTTGAGATCCGGGAGCTTTTGCAACTGGCATGATGCCAAGTTAAGTTCACTCATTTGGGGAAAGGGAAATGAGGTTGAATTACTATCCTGTACATCAATTCTCAAATTGTTGTAAGAAAGGTCAAGGATTTTTAGCCTAGGAAGTCCCTTTATCGCTTCGATATTAATGGTCCCACTGAAGGAGTTGGAAGAAAGTGAGAGTTGTGAAAGCCTATTGATTTTAAATATAGACCGGGGATCGATCCATTTAGATAGTTATTGCTCAAGTAAAGTTTATACAAAAAAGAGGACATGTTAGCAAATTCAATGGACTTCTCCACTGAAGTGGTTATTCTCAAGTTCAAGCACCTGCAATGATGGAACGGAAAACACAACTATCGGAAGGGTCCCACCGATAGAATCGTCTTGCAAGTATAGACACTCAACCCTGAAAGACCTCCAAAATGAGTAGAAGAAAGTGGACCTGTTAGATTGTTATGAGAAAGGTCAATCTACTTGAGCTTATTTGCCTTATGAAATAGTGGGACTGAGCAAGTAAAGCAATTGGATGAAAAGTCTAAATAAACTAAATCTCTTAGATTTTCCATTTTTGATGAGATAGGTCCAAAGAAATTGCATGAACTTAAGTCAATCTCGGTTAAGGTTGTGAGATTAGCAAGTGAATCCAGAAGTAAACCTGTGAAATTTGTGCTGCCAAGACCTAACTCCCTTAGTGAACCATTCTGTGAAAAGTCAGGTAAAGTGCCAGTGAGTTTTTCATTCCCATATAAATCAAGCTCCTGTAGAGTTGGTACCTGAAAGATCTTATTCGGAAATTCACCTCTCAAGTTGCAGTTACTGAGACTGAGGGTTTGTCAGTTTTGTAAAATTTGCTAGAAGTTCAGGAACTATACTGGACAAGTTGTTGCCATCAAGACGAATGACTGAAAGGAAATGAAGATTTAAGAGGACGGGATCAAAAGGACTTGAAATGCCACAATCTTTCATGCTTAGCACTCTTAACTGAGGCAGAGATGAAGATAAGGTTGAGCACCACTCAATCCTTTTCAATGATATGTACACTTCATCAAGATAAAGTTCTCTAAGATTCGCCAGGTTTTCAACCAGTGTCTGCAGATCTCCTCTCTCAAGCTTTAACGCGACATTAGAAAGGTCAAGAAACATTAACTTCGTCAATCTTGACAATTCCATTGGAATCTGCCCACCAAAACCAGCATATGACAAATTTAGGTATGTTAAGATACTGAAGATCGAATAGACTGGTTGGATTCTCAAGTCCGCTGAAAATTGCTTCGTTGTCCAGTTCCAAAACAAGTGCATGACCTTTCTGATCACAACTTAAAAAACCACGGGACCAAAAGCTCCACTATAATCACCAAGAGTTACAATATTGTTCTCTAAAATTGGCCACAAAACAAGTGCCAAACAACGAGCAACAACAAAATAAGATTGCACCAAATCTAGAGAATTAAAGGAGCAAAATCACCAATTTCGCAGCTACTGTTCACGACAGCAAAACTGATAAGATTGCACCAAATCTTGCCCCCGTCCTTTCTGTTTGTAGCGGGTCCGATTCAAGGCATTCAACAAACATCAACTAAGCTCTCACTACTCTGAAAATCATCCTTGTCAGCTTTGTCAAAATCTTCAATTGTTTGGTCTTCAAAGAACACAACATCACGGCTTCTAACAAGTTTCTTCTCAACAGGGTCATAGAAACGATAGTCAAATTCATCTTG